CTAAATGATTATTTAAAATATCAATGTTTCTCTAATAGGAGAATTTTAAAAATATGACACTAGGGGCTGCTACTATCTTCTATGTGAAAGAATTATATTCCTCATTGTTTTGTACAAGTTCATGAAAATTAAACCACAAACCAGAAAACATGTAAGATGTCTTTACATGGGGAAGGAGTTGTCAATAATAGAACAAAAGTTTAATTTGAATAACTAGCAAATGTTTTGTAGGTAATAAAGATATATTTTTCAAATTAATCAATATCTATTATGTCTTTTCTGAACTAGTTAGACACATATATCGATAACAATCCGGCCATATCAGTGAGGACAAATTATTTCATGACATAATTGTTCTCTGCCTTTGTATCATTTCTATCATAATCAGAAATATTACTTTAAAGGGTCTGTTGTCAGACTAAAGTTTTACTGCTGCAAAGAGGGTTTTGTGGTTGATTAGACTCACAATCCAAGTTCTAATCCTTTACCTTTTTCCTGGAAAGTCCAGAAGGTTCTATCTTAGAGAATAGCATACTATCTTTCCGTACATCACAGTCAGGGACGTATACCACTATGTGTTTAATCTCTTTTCAATCTTTCCAAAGCCAAATTAAGCAACAAATTAGGGCACATCAAGGATATTCCCTCTTCCAGAGAAAACTCACTATGGATGAAATAGCAGAAAGGAAGGCCGCTGCCTTTCATATGAAGTCCTCATTCTGCTACTAAATCCCCACAAGTATTGAATAAGCTGTGACAATTCATTACAATTTTCTCATTGACTATGCTCTAGAACTGTTGTGAAGAATAAAAAAACAAAAAAAATATCCAAAATCACATCTTGTCATCATCATGATGAAAGCCAGGAGACCTTTACTGCTATTCACTGGCCCTACCTTTATGAAGCATTGGTTTCTCGCCGACCCTCACCCCCATCTCTAGGTACTTCTAACAGCACAAATGGGAAAACAAAAACAACGCACAACTAGATGAACATCTACCATATTCCAGGTGCCGGGTGCAAGCACAGACAGTGTTCAAATCCCCATTTCACAAGTGACGAGATTGAAACTCAAAGAATACAAGTCATTTGCCCAATATCACACAATTGGTAAATATCAGGGCTAGAACTTGACCCAGATCTCCATTTGTTTTCTCTATTGCTTTCCTTCATTTTGTTGTGTGTCCTTCTGAGTATCAGGAGGAAAAACAGAACGTAGAATACTAAGGGAATCTATCTGAGAGGATATTCACTTCTCTCTATGCTTAAAGGTGTGACGGGTAACAGCAATTAATATCAGAAAACCCACATGAGAAAGTTCTTAGCATGAGACTTAGAGAAGCTCCTCACTGGTAGATCTCACAAAGTTCTGGGGAAACTGGAGGGATATGGGTGTCAGACCCTGAACCTGGTGGTGGCATTTGTAATCTAGGCATGCAATGAGAAGTTCAGGACAGGGAGACACTTACTCTCTAGCTCCCCTGGGCCTTGCTATCTATCCCACTGCGCATGGACAGGGAGAGACTGAGATGCATACTCAATTACCTACTGAATATTCGGATACTCCAAGATGTTCAGAACTTAAATCACCTTCTTTCCTTCCCTACTCATATTCTCTAATTCCCTTTATGCTTTATGCAAATGAATGATACCATCATCCCATCAGTCCCACCCATCTCCCAAACCCCAGGTCCAGAAGGGGCCCTTCACTGTTTCCTCTTCTTTACCCCACATCCAATTAGTTTCTCAGTCCTATCCATTCCCTGTTCTTAACATCTTTCCAGTTTTCATCTCCTCTTGATTCCCACTGCCATTGATTTGGTTCATGCTCCAAAACTTTCCTGACTAAGTTACTGTTGAAGTCTTGCCTACTCAAAGTCCCTGTCCCCGATCTCATCTCCCCTACCCCAATATGCCCTTCTCACTGCTAGCATACGGTATTCTAAAACCCAAATATAATGGAATAGTCTTATGGACATATACTCACATAAAACAACCTCAAAAGCCCCTAACATCACCACTGCTTTTAATTAGCACGTGCTGTTAGCTCTTGCTAATTTAAAAAAATAAGAGAAACAAGAACAGCAACAGCAACAAAAAAAATCTAAATCCCTCAGCATGTCAGATTCCAGTTCTCTGATGGCAAAATGCTCTTGTACCTTTCGCATGCACTTGTCATTGCCTGTGTCTGCATCTTCTCCCACCTTCAACTCCTGTGCATCCTTTAGAACTCAGCTCAAGTATCACCCTCAGAAAGCCTTTCCCTTCAAAAGTAGAACAAGTTACCACTTCATATCCATTAGAATGGCTATTATAAAAAAAACAAAACATACACACACCAAAAAAACCCAGCAAGCATTGGTGAGGATGTGGAGAAATTAGAACTCTTATACACTGCTGATGGAAATGTAAAGTGGTGTAGCCACTATGGGGGTTCCTCAAAAAATTAAAAATA